GGTGCTTGTGAAGGGTGTTTACCTGCCAGGGAAGAATATGCTGGTCTGCATCTCCTTGAGATTCCATTTCTATTTTATGCAAAAGCATCTTAGAAAGTACTTGGGCCACCACATGCACAGCGTGATAGATAAAATAGCTGGTGTCAGATATGATCATCATGCTCAAGTCAGGTGGTAGAAACTCTAGGGAAGAATTTGGAGGGCAGTCTCTAAGTTTGCTACATAGTGATCCAGCAAGTGAGCATTCAAAAAAGTGATGCCAGAGTTTACCAAAGTAAAAATCTTCTCGGTATTGGGAAGGGTTCACTGTCTTGAGAAATTGTTTAAAGCCAGAAATTTTCTTTTCCTGATTTGAAAATAAGAGACTTCCATGAAAAAGGTATGGCATGTGTACCATAAAAGTAAAAATATCTTTCCAGTCTGAGGAGTGGAGATTTTTCATGATCAATACCTTTCCCCGAATTAACCAGAATTCTCCTACTCCCAGGCTCCAGACACTGCCTTCATCACCATGTATTACATAAACATTTGCAGATGAAACTCTGATCCTCTTCAGAAGAGTAAAGTCACGTGGTAAAAAAATACCTTTCGTGGCAGGGAGCATTTCTGTAAAGGCCACACAGATATCCTTTTCTATCATCTTTTTCTTTATATCCTGAAGGAACTGCTCCCCTTGCATATCATCAGATACATAGAGTGCCACCCATGTCCAGCCAAAATGCAGCAACAACCAGATTACTCCATGAGCCAGAGAGCTGTCCTTGGTGGCCATCTGATAAACTGATGAAAATTGGTCTTTATCACTTAGGATGGGGTCAAAAGGACCATATGTGACCTAAATAAGAAAGAAATAATCTGATTATGACCTTAGTGGGATTTTGGATTTTTCCACTTGAACAGGGATGAGGTAATTCTCTACCTGATAAAACCATAGGATGAGATATTGGGATATATGTGAGAAAATGTACCATAAAAATAATTTAAAAATTTAAAAAGGAATGAATATCAAATGAAGAGAATGCATGTTGTGGAAATGACACTATTCTGTGATTTGGAGCAGAAGACTGCTTTTCAGGCCCATTTCAGTAAATGACATTTGACTAGTCCAAATAATAGTATCACTTCCAGACCAAAGCATAAAAGAAAAAATGTAAGGTTCAATACTTGTTTCATTGTCTACAGTGGGAATGAAGGCTGCATAAGTTATAAAAATGGTACCAGAAGATGTTGGTGATTTTGCTAATGGGAGCTCATGTGACATGTGGATCAGAGGCTTCCTTTCCTAGCACCCAAGGTTAAAAATGTCAATACTGAAGAAAAATATTGTATTGATTTTTTGATTCTGTGTTTTATCACCACATCACAACTTATATTGTCTTAAAACATAACAAATTAGCCTCTCTGATATTTTTAAAATGTTACTTTTCAAGAGCATGATTCTCCTGACCTAATGCTATGTTTGCCAATAATGTCTTCTAAAACTCTTATTAGACAGTTTCCCTGGAAAAATGTCTGGGGTGGAGAGTTATTATGTGGAAAGTAACTGAAAGTGCTTTTTTTATTTTATTTTATTTTTATTTATTTATTTACATTTTCTCACAAACATTTACTTTACAAATCAAAAATGTTTGGTCATACTTCATAATTCTTTTTTTTCTATGTCAATGCTTTTCCTTTCCTTTCTTTTTCTTTATTAATATTATTATTTACACATTGTTTCTACAACATCAGCCCTTTTCTGCCCATAAAACCCGCTGTCTCTGCTCAGCTCACTGGCACTGTTTTTTGTTTTTTGTTTTTTTGGTTTTGTTTTTTTGTTTGTTTGTTTGTTTGTTTTTGGTTTTCATGCTCTCAATCTTATTTTAATGGCTTGTCAGATTTTAATACTTTATTTTTTATTTTATTTTTTAATTATCATCATCATAATCTTCTTTATATTACATTGGATTACATATAACTTTACAGTGTATTACATTGTTTTTTCAAGTCAGTACAGAGACATTAATCTCCCCACTTCAACATTCAATATCTTTTCTATGTTTTCCCCAATCATTATTTTTATTATTCTAATTATTTTTTAAAACAGTCAATTGCTATTTCTCATTTTGCTTGTAAAAATACTTTGCCCATCATGAAATACTTCTCAGACCAATCCAGTTGAGAATACTATACATGTCCTCATCAACAGTTAATAAGCCCTATCTGTTTCTCACTAACGTCCTATCTCTCTATTGTTCACTTGCTATCTTTCTCTATCCTCTTCTCTTCACTTACCCCATTCCACACTGTCCTATTCTCATTGGAAGTGCTTTCAAGAGATCCGCCTGCATGGTTGTAAGGAAGAGCAGAGGGAGCTGGTAAACCTCAGCTGCTGTAACTGAGCCATAGCCAACTTGGAGGATCTTCAATGCTGGAATGTCCTTTCTTTGTTCAATGTCATAATGAATACAATATTTTTATCTCTTTATATCAAATTGTCCTATAAATGTTCAATGTTATTTTCCTGTCTTAAGGTAAATCTCTACTCAGTTCATACTCTTTAAGAGACACCTTTAAATTGGCCATCAATGTTCCCATCAGTGGGGGTTGTATGTAATGGATATGAACAGGATTCTGGGTGAAATTTAACATATTTCACTTCTCTTGTTATTTTTAATTTGTTAGAGGGCAAATTGAATTATGTGTGCTTGCCACAGTGGACAGTGAGATATAACCCCTTATAGCGAATGTTTATGCCAATATTTCTTCTCCTGAATTTTCAGTTATTGGGATTTTCAACCTGCAAATACACATGCCAAGTGTGTTCTTTAAGCCACCAGGATCAAGATTTGAACCACGCAGTCATCCATGTGGAATTCAGTCAAATTAACCATCATATCACCAGCTGGCCCACCATTGATCTTGTTCTTTCTCTCTCATACTTGTAGTGTTAATAATTCCATGACTCAGGAAATTATCTGTGTTTTTTTTCTTGTGTTTCCATAAGTTGTGCCCAAACAACCAAGAGAAGTTTGAGGATCACAAGGGGTATGTAAATCCAACTTCCACATTTTTTTTTTTTTTGCTCAGATGTGAGAAAATTGCTTTAGAAGCTATCCAACTCTCATTCCCCAACCTGACAACTCACTTACCTGTGGGCTTTTGTAGAGTTCCAAAAGGGATCCAATTTGGGCTGAAAATTTTGGTATGTTTCCTGTAATGATAGCAACAGGTTGTTTCTGTGTCTGGCAGTTGTAGTTTGGAAGGGTCTTATTTCCTCCAGAGAGCAATAACAGAGCATTTTGTAATGTTTTTCTGTCACTGGGAAATGCATTGTAGAGATCATAACCCAGGGAAAGGTTCAGGAGCAAATGGAAGCTCTTATTGATCTCATCAATGGCAAAGAGAAAGGCCAATACACCTTGGTAGTTCTTCCAGTGGTACCTAAACAGAGGGGACAGGATTGGGATATACAGTCAAGTCATGTGATTCAGGTTAAACTCTTCAGTCAAGCCACAAGACATAAAGGTTTAGGCCTAGGCTGCCATTCAGGGATTCTCCTGCACTGGTACATGGAGCTGGTGTGAATAATGTTTGCAGGGCTCTAGAAAACTTTAAATCTTTTTTTCCCTCTACTAAAGCAAATATAGTCCAAACAATAAAGAGACATTTTGAAGATTTTGTGAATGAGATGAGGTTTTATTTAGCTGGATGATGACAATGTCACCTAAACAGAGGTGGTTTTAAAGAAGGATCATTAATGTTAGAGAAGACAGCAACTTTTTAAAAGGATGTCAATAAAGAGTACACACATTCACTACTTTTTATACACTGCAAGTTACAACATGTATGTATATAAAATACAAAGTATTTTTATGATTTTAAAATATAACACAGAACAATTGGACTATGGTTGTTAATATATATATATATCAACTCAATTATTTTAGATTCCTTGTGAAGAGAACATTAGTATCCTACTCCTTTGGCATTATTAGGATGAATAGTACTCAATTATAAATTACATTTCCCGTCCTTACACTCACCATTATAACCTTTCTCTAAGTGAAGGTCATCTTGTTTCAATGTAGGTCCAGAAATCATTATGGAAGCATTTCTTATTTTCCCCTATGTTCTAGAATCTTTACATAGCATCTGGGGGGCTAGCAATTTGCAAGGTGGTTAAGACACTAGACTTTCAAATAAGCTGACTGTAGTTCAAGCCCTGGGTCTGACAACTTTCTCTCTCTCTCTCTCATTATCACACATGCCCTGTAGTAAATTCAAAACAAAATAATAATAACAAATAACATTAAATAAATAATTTTAAAAATATCACCAGGCTTGCCAGTTTTTCAACCACTTGGCACATTTCAGGTTCTTTTTGGCGGCTTTTTCTATAGTTTTATACACTTCTACATCAACTCTGAAAAGATTTTGTATTCACTTATTGACTACATCAAGTGTTTTTATCAATTTGTAAAAATATTTTTCTCTGCAGTTAATTGATCTCTATAATTGCTCATTTGTCACTTGGAAATTCTTACCTTTATATGAATATTATAGCTAGAACTATGCTTTGAGGTTTTAAAAATTGCTCAATTTGTTTTTTGATTTAATTATTGTTATGTAATTTCTTTAATTCTTTCTCCATTCTCTGGAATTATTCTGGTCTTAATTTTTTTTTATTTAAATTTTAACGTAAATATTAAAATTTTATTTTTTTCTGAGAGGTTTTGCCTTAAAGTGCATTAGCTTGCTAAAGAAAGAGAGGGACACACAGTGAGAGGGAAAGTGAGAAATCACTTTCATAGCCATTTAGAAATCTTCTCTTCTCTTCCTGGAATCCTGGACATGCGTTCACACATGTCCAGGCATTTCAAGCCACCAGGTCCAGGACTTAAAGATGGTCATGTGGGAGACCAGTGACATAACTGCTATGCCATCTGCTTGTCCCCTGATTTGTTAATAAAACATGTTAAGCTAGAGATCTTTACGCAATCTGAACTCTAATTTTTTAGCACTGGTTCTTCTATCATTTGTTACTTTTTTGTGTTATACAGTACGATCACTCACCAGAGAGAAACAGAAAGAGAGAAAGTGATGGAGAGAGGACAAAAACAGAAATCACTCCCTGGAGGATGGTCTTGACATAGGCCCTTTTCTTTTATTATACACTTGGGATGATTGACAGGCAGGCACACATCAACCTGGCATGTTTTTCAAGTCACTTTATTCAGTACTCAAACCACATAGCCATATGAGAAACAGCAGCCTTTGATTTTTTAAACATTCAAAAGTCTCCTTTTTTTTTTTCAGAGAGTGCTTTGCCTAAATGCACATGCACTTGCCAGAAAAAGAGATTGACATAAAGTGAGAGGGAAAGTGAGAAATCACCCATCGGAGGGATGGCCACACTGCAATAAGTCAGTTATGTGGAAGACCAGCTACATAACTGATATGCCATCTGTTGATCCCTTGATTTGTTAATAAAGCATGTTAAACTAAAGATTTTCATCAATCAGAGCTCTAATTTATCTGAGTTGTTGTTGTAGTTTACTGTTCCTTTTTTGTTGTTGTTATGGGGTGTGTGCATTCACCATAGAGAAACACACAGAGAGAGGGAGAGCTAGAGAAAAAGAAAGTATGAAATCATCCCCTGGAGGATAGCTATTCCACAATCCATTCTCCTTTATTCTGCATTTGAGATGATTGGGCAGGCAGGCAAACTTCCACCTGGCATGTTTCTCAGGCAACTTTATTCAGTACTCAAACCATGTAGTCAGTCATATGGAATCCAGCCCCCTTAACCTCCATGCTGAGTTAGCAGTTAGACTCCACTCTACGTACATAGGGATGGACTGTTCATAATTAAGTTACCGTGGTTTTGATTTCTGTGTCAGGTAAACGATCACTGTTCCCCCCTTACAAGTCTCAGAGGAATTTATGACTTGTGTTGCTGGTCTAAAATCAGACTGAAACCAGTCACTGTGTATCAGAGTAACTTTCAAGCTGCTGGGTCTGCATCTCAAACCTCGACCATGTGGGAGTACAACTCATTAATCACTAGGTCACCTGCTGGCCCCTTCTTGATAAAACTTTAATCAGACTTCAGAGAGTTCACCCAGTCCTATCTGCACACTTGTATATAATCCACGTAAGTGAATTTGGCCAGAATCTCCATTATCTGAAATGTTACCACTTAGTAATGTTTTATCCAATTACTCCCACATTGCTCTTTGAGTTTAAATTCTTATTTGTCCTTGTTATACTCAGATTTGATACTGAAATACTGCAAAATCTCATGGCCACACTTTCTATATATATTTTGAGGCTTTAAAGGAAGCATTCTTTGCTTTAAAATGTATGAAGTGGTGAGCAGGTGGTATGGTGTTTAAGGCTCTGGATTTCCACAGGACTGACCATGGTATAAGTGCCAGTCTTTGCACTGAAAATAATGCTGGGCAAATGTGCAAGCCTGAGAGGAGAAAGGGGATTGGATTCTGGTGTGTCCATACTTCCGGGTTAATATATTGTGGTGGCTTTTACATAGCCATGACTTTTCTACAAAGCACATTTCTACAATCCCCTAGTTAGTGGTGAGCACCAGAGTCAGCACCTTGATGCTAACATTAACTTTATGTCAGGAGGTCAGTGTCCGAATATGTGGGCCTCACTATACAGGTCTTGGTTATAAAAGGGCAGAAGGTACAAACAATTTCACTCATTCCCAAAGACTTAACACGGAGATGGTGCTGACAGAGTGGACAACAAATTATATTAATTTCTCTCTAGTGTCTTGAAAAAAATGGAGAAATGGAAAATTTAAAAAGGATAAGAAGATAATAAGGCAGAACATCCTGAGTTCACAATTCTGCACTTCTCTCATTTCTGTGCACATGAAATTATTCTCAAGTGGGATTAATCCCACACACATATATACACACACACACACATATACATATATGCAAACTATGTTATTACACAGCTATAATCACATTTTCAGATACATATAACCAACAACTTACCAGTCATCTCTCACTTCTTGAGTTGGCCTTATCAGAAAATTTTGTGTAAGTGTACCTTGTTCCTCCATACTATAAAGGGGGAAAAACCCAGCCAGGGCCAGGTCCCCATCCTGGTAGACACTTGGCTTCGGGTATGTACGGCAGTTAATATTTATCATCTCACATGCCGTTTGTAAGGGCTGCAGAAGTAGTAAGACACTAATCAAAGGTAATGACATGTTTGAGCTGGCCCAACACAGCTAAAAAGCCCGATGTGTGGGCTGAGAAGGAGATGGAACTGAACTTTGTCTGCAGGCTCAGCCGTCTGTTAGGAAAGGCAACTCTGTGGAGGACATAGGAGATTCTCACTTCCACAGTTTCACCTCAACTTGTCCAAAGTGTGTGCCAGACTGGCATGGCAGACAGAAACATAGCTAGAAGCATTTTTAAAAGAGCAGTTTTACAGAAAGCATGGTGTTGATACAATCTGAGCAGCTCTGACTTTCCTGGTGTTTTACAGTTTCACTTAGGTCCCATCCAGGAACTCTGGGGATCTCTCTACCCTGGGGCTCTGCACCTGTCACTCTCAATTTTGGTGAAAAACAATTTGGGAAAAACATATTTTGCCTGTTTTTCTCCCCCACCCTTTATGATTTTATAATGACCTTTAAGTAAAGCTTTGGGGATTGTCCCATCCTGAGACAACAAGCTTTGTAATTTTGTGACCAAGAGAGGTTCAAAGTGCTTGTATCACAAAACCAATGTTACTATTTGTATTTTTTAAATGCTGGTAAAATCCACAAAAGTTGGACTAACAGGTTTGATTGTGGTTATTTTCTCTAAAGTGAGCTCACCATTAGTTATACATGATTGATACATGCCATGTGCTCTCTGTGAATTGTTCTTGGAGGCTGGCTCCTTACTATCACCCTCCTTGAGTTGCTCTTTCTCCTCTTTGTCTCCTTGACTTTGCAAGGTCTTCACCTGTCTTTGTTTTTATACAATGATGGGAGGAGAAAGTATGGAAAGTACTCACAGTATAACCATAATGTAACTTAGAATAAACACTAGCTGGACAAAATATTGGAAGAAATCTTAGAATATTATAAAGTCAAAAATAACCATTTAGGGAGCATTTGAGCAGTTGTGTTCTTTTACTGGCATGGAGGATCTAGAGGTGGCTACATTTATTTATTGTGTCTGTTTTAATCATAACAGAATTAATTTTAATTTTCCTTATACTGTCTTCAGTCATGGAAGAAGGAACAGTGATCCAATTTGAAAACATGGAACCACATTTGATACTATAGTCTCAGGTATCATACTTGGTTTATAAATAAGTTTATATTTTAAATAAACATTAAGTCATAGAACCAGCAGGTGGCATCATGGTTAAGGCATTGGACTCTCACATGGTTGACTGTGTTTTGAATCCTGGGCCTGGTGATGTGCTTTCTCAATTTCCCTCTCTCTCTCACTCTCTGTCTCTCTTTGGTGAGTACACATGCCTTAGAACAAACCTAAAAATGATAATAAATAAAATAAAATAAATAATGTAAAAAAACACATAAATTTATAAATTATGTGTAAAACACCTTTATCAAAAAGAGACAATACAGTGGCCAGCAGTTAGCATAATGGCTATGTCACTGGACTCCCATGTAGTCGACCGCAGTTTGCATCCTGGACCCGGTGGCTTAAAACTCATGCCAGATGCATGTGTGTGTATGCCCAAGATCCCGAGAGGAGAATGGAGGAGCAGGGAAGTTTTGAGGCCATCCCCCCTGGGGGGTGATTTCTCACTTTCTGTCTCTCTGTCTCTCTTTGTCTGGCACACGCCCTATAGCAAAAACCTCTCAAAAAAAAAAAAGAGAGACAATACATTAGACACTTTGAAAAAATCAGTAAATATAATATACACACATAAAAATAAAGGATCCCGAGAGGAGAATGGAGGAGCAGGGAAGTTTTGAGGCCATCCCCCCTGGGGGGTGATTTCTCACTTTCTGTCTCTCTGTCTCTCTTTGTCTGGCACACGCCCTATAGCAAAAACCTCTCAAAAAAAAAAAAGAGAGACAATACATTAGACACTTTGAAAAAATCAGTAAATATAATATACACACATAAAAATAAAGGTCAGAAAGTTAATTTCCATTTTATTTCTACTTGTACTAGTAATAACATTTGGTTAGCACTTTGAGCAAGTTTGAAGTTGACTCTTGGAAAAGAAAGTCATTTTGTCTAAATGGTTACCTAGATATGTTAAAATGAGAGTGCTTCTATTCTAAAAATTTAAAGACCAAAAGAACAGTTGTATAAACAATAAAAGTTAATAATTTTTTGCAAAAGCATGTCATAAATTCTAAAATAAGGGACTAATATGCTTCATTAAAAATCTCCTTAATGAGGCCTGTAAGTGGTATGTTGGTTATGTCTGTGGACTTCCACATGGTTGAGTGCACTTTGAGTCCCAGACCTTAGAGCTTGCTTTCTTACTTTCCTCTTTCTCTCTCTTTCACTGTCTCTCTCTCATAAGCTCTCATGACCTATAGCATATTGAAAAGAATAATAGTAGGCAAAATAAAATGAATAATTATTTTTAAAATGACCTTTAGTGTAATGTATTGACAGCCTGTTGAATAAGACAGCTGAATTCCACATGTCCCAAATCTCAGACCTTGAGGCTTCAAAAACGTGCCAGCAATATGTGCATGCTTACATTCCCAAAATCCAAAAAGAAAGGAGAAATAAAGAAGGGATTACAGTTCATTCTCTATAAGAGGGTGTTTTTTTCTCATCTCTCACAGTCTCACTCTCTCTCTGGGAAGGATACACACCCAGTAGTAATAGAAAACCTCTTTAGAATTTAAAAGTTGGGAACAGTAGAGGCATATTGATTATGTCACTGGACTACCATGTAGTTGACTGTGGTTAAAGTCTCAGACCTAGAGGCTTTAAACTCATGCCAGGGGTGTGTGCATGCATGCCCAAAATCTGAAGAGGAGAATGGAAGAGAAGGGATTGTAGCATGATCATCCCACCTGGGGGTGATTTCTTACTTTCTGTCTCTCTGTTTCTCTCTGTCTCTCTGGCAAGCACACATGCCCTATGGCAAAATTTCTTTAAATAAAAAATAATTTAAATGTTTTAAATTTATATATATATATATACATAGATAATTATAAAAATACATATATAAATATATAACATGTATGCACACACACACATATATATGTTACAAATTGTTTCTTTCTTTTATTTGGAGAGTTTTTCGCTATAGGGCATATGCTCTTGCTAGACAGAGAGACACAGTGAGAGAGAAAGTGAGAAATCACCCCCTGGGGGAATGGCTAAACTGCTATCCCTTCTCCTCCATTCTCCTCTGGGGATCTTGGGCACACATGCACACGCACCTAGTGTGAGTTTAAGTCACTGAGTCTGAGATTTGAACCACGGTTGGCTACATGGGAGTTCAGCGATATAGCCATTATGCTAATTGCTGGTTTCACAAATTGTTTCTTTTTATGTCACATGACAGTAGCACTTTTACCAAAATAAGTTTAAAATAGAAATAAAGAACAAAACAGGTTTGTACTTTAAAAAAAGTTTAATCGAGGTACAAATAATATTGAAAAAAACTGTACATATTTAATGTACATTTTTGGCTAAACTTGTAGAACTGTATAAATTTATATTACTGCTACCACTATGAAGAATCTAAAGCGTTTCATACATATATTGCCTTTTAAAAATTTTTCCTACAAGGAACCAGCAGGTGGCAAAGTGGTCATAGTGTTGGACTCACACGTGGCTTATTGTGGTTCAAGTCCTGGACCTGGTGCCTCAATTTTTCTCTCTCTCTTTCTCTATAGTCTAATTTTAAAAATAGCAATAATAAGTAAAAATAAATAAATCTTATTTTTCTTTCTACATGTGCATGTGTTAGATAAAGATACAGAGGAAAACTGAGAAATCATCACCTATGGGGGAATAGTCATGATGGAATCTTTTCTTCAGTTCTGTTTTTATCCAAAATTTGGGACATAAACACACATGTGCCCAGGGTTTTGTTTTCTTTTAAAATAATTATTTTAGTTTAGTTTAGTTTAAAAATTTGATCAGAGACAGAAAGAAAGAAAGAGAAAGAGGAAGTCAGAAAGCAAGCCGTCAAGTCCAGAACTTAAACCACTGTCAGTCATGTGGGAGTCCAGTGCCTTAACCACCATTCCACCTGCTGGCCCCTCCCAGTGTGTTTTGTAAGCTGCAGATACAGGACTCAAGATGCTGGCTTAGTGCTGTGTGATTCAGCTACCTTAATTATATCACTCACTTGTTGGCCCCATTTGTGCCCTTTATAAATGACTAAGTTTAGCCTCTAATCACTCCAAGCCAGTAATTTTATTATTCCAAGTTTTGTGAAAGTTCAATTACAGATAAACATCCCAGAATTCTCCCTATGAGCTACAACCACTCCTCTATTGTTTTTAGGAAGAAAATAGAGAGCATATCCTATATGACCACAAAACTGGTGACCACTCAAACCACTCTGAGCCCCTACAAAAAAGGGGAGAAATGTTAAAATAAAAGGATTACTTGACAGATATGGACTGCCTACCTACCTCTACTTTAAATGTATTTTTAATTTGTAAATCCTGCTTTTAATCCAGCTTCATCCATTTCTGAGGAAAAGCCAATTGACAAACAGCATTGGGTACAATATTCCTCCTGATGAAAGAATAAAAATGGTACCGTATGATATCCACAGTCTTGTGAGATTTCCTAGTCACAGTTGGCTGTTGGTTAATGTAGGAGATTTTTGTCTACAGGAGCTCCCATGATCAAGGCTTGGTCATCAATGAAGAGATGATAAAATGGCCTGTTAGTTTCAAGGAGGTACAATGTCATTTCAATGTTAAATATATACAGAGATATCTGACCAGAATCCTGAAATGAAATTGTGTGATTCCTCTTTTTTTGTGCTTTTGTGGTGTTTGTTTTTCAGTATTTTATTTTTTTAAATATTTGCTTTACACTGAATCACTGTCTTTACAGTGTACTATAAGGCTTTTCCCAGCATGAGTACAGTGCATATCAGACAAAGCAAAGATGTTCCATATACACTATCATCAGCAAATAGCTTTTTATTTTTGTGTCAGTTATACGTATCTCTTTTTTCTCTATTTCCCTCCCTCCCCTAATACCCTCCCTCATATTATCCCTATCCTTACTATCTGTAGTA